GAAAAAGTGTATTCTACAGTGTTATAATGCATGGTAAGGCAGTACAAGAGAGTTGTTTTCCATTGGTATTCTGACCTCTGTTGCACTTTATGTCATGATCTTGGTACTGATGACTGGATTATTAGTTCATTTCTTCCACCTACTTAGCTCTGCCCAATTTCATCTCCCTTCATCTGGTCTACCTGTTCCCGTTTCTATTTAAGCTGCCTGTTTCCAGCCATCAGCGCAAGATTTTACTAGCTGAGTGTGAGAGTTCTGTAGCGTACCCTGCAGTATCTTCAAAATTGGAAAGTCCAGTGGATTGTTTTTAATTTCCTTTTTTAGGAATGACTATGACCTTGATGAACGAGAATCTTCACCAGCGTACTCTGTAGTGTTTTGATTACCTGATCCTGACCTGTTTTTGTCTCTGGACTCCAGAGTTTGGCTTGTTCTGGTTCTTGTCTGTTTCTGCCTTTTCCTGTTTTCAGAATGCTGTTTGGACTATGTCTGTTAAAGGCCTTGGATCTGTCCTCCGACCTGGCTTGGATTTCCCTTCGGTACTTCTTCGTCTCTCTGATCTTCTGGACATCTGCTCCTGCATCAAGACCTGCTCTGAATTCTTCCTCTGGATTCTTCTGCTCATCCTAGACTGTTGGTTTCCATTCGTCAGTCTGCTCTGCCTCACTCCTGAAACTCTCTGGCTGGATTCCAGTTTTTGGTCTGGGTACCAACAAAACGTTAGAACCAGGTTAGTGACTCACATGCTCGTTATCATTCCCGTCTGAGTTTCGTGGTGACTAACCTGAGTTTATACCGATTCAGAGATTCCAGTAAACCGGTCCCAGCTGACGAATCACAGTCCTCAGAGCATTCAATAAAGTATTTCACTTGAAAACAAACCTGTTTTTTTCTGCCTGAATTCTGGGTCCTACTTGCTGAGAACCTGACACTTTAACTCAAAACTGATTGACAATGGTTTGACAGTGAGATTACTGAGGCAAGCTGCAGTGATTCAGATGTTCTTCTGGTTTCTTTTTTAGGAAATGTGAATTTGTCCTTTAAGTAATTTGGTAAATAACTCTAATCGTAGTTAACGAGAATCCAAAAGCATTGGAAATGCCTTTAAACCAATATATGACACAGTTTGTTTCCCATCTGCTCTATAGTTTCTTCAGATGGTGGAAAATTGTGATATTTTTAATCTTTCAGATGTCTTTATGTTGTTAGATAGGCTATTTTTTATTCTCAGCATGAATAGAATAAATTTTTATACATTTGGACAAGTTACATTGGATAACCTTTATGTCTTGATTAATTACATTTGAACTAGCAAACTGATTCTTTACCATACTGAAAAAGCCTCTAATTTATGCAAAAATATATAGAAGCGAATATTAATAAAAAATGTTGAAAAGTTTGTTAATAACTTATTTCAAACACTTCAGAGATTTTACAATATTATAGAGAAAATTGTTCAGGACTTAAATGTTCTTTATTTAAAAACTTTATAGAAATGCTTCATTTATAGTTCAAATATTATCTCTAAAACATAAACATAAAAAAAAAATCTTTTTTTTTTTTAATATAATAAGAGAACAATCTTAATGTGTTTAGGGTAAAACATGTTTTTTTTAGCTGTCTGCTGTAAGTGGTAAGGAAAAAGTTTGAAACAGAAAACCTCAACAAGTTGTGCTCCATTGCAGCCCACAATCTTTTCATCCTTTTGTGCACAAACAATGAGTGCAGAACATGCCCGACCTCACCTGGTGAGGTCAAACTGAACAGCAAGAGTGTCAGAAAAACCGGGATCACACATGGCAGGTGCTGCCTGCATGCATGAGGGGAAGAGGAAGATCTAAGAGAGAGCCAGGCAGTGTCAGTGGCCTGATGCGTTTGATAAGGACGACAGGGACACTTCAGTTACCAAGAGAGCAGGTCAAGTGAAACCAAGATCTCAAGGCACCACGTCCATCAGGAGTCAGGCGGCGATCGTGTCAAGTTGTCATGCAAGCCAAAAAAGAGGCAGCGGGTGGACAGAGGGGTAGAATGACTTATACATGGGAACAAAATGAGGTTATTCATTCAAGTATAGAGTAGAACAGGCTGTAGCTCTATATCATCTGCTGATTAAACCCTTTCTAGTTGTAGCTGGCTCTGTCTTTGGAGAACTTGAGAAGGGCGGCTTTGCTCGTGTTCATGAAATTAATCTTGATAGAAGCCCTCAGGGAGACTCAGAGCCTGCCAAAGATGAATCAGAAGACAAAGTTCTGATATCCTCATTTCATAAAGAGCTTAAACTGCACCATATTTAACAAAACATTGTGGATTTAAACTTGCCTTTGGAAAAATTATACAGTTTTATTATGTTTTTGCCTTTTGATTATCTTTTCAGCCTATTGCATGTGATCTACATGCAAATCACTGTGTCAAAATAAACCATCCTGTATTGCACTACTAATATATGGATAGCATTTGCACCTAGATCAGATGCTCCAAGAGGACACCAACGTCTGGCATTGTTGTGGTTGGATTTTTGACCGCTCCTCCTGGCAGAGCTGGTGGGGTTCCGTTAATCTTGTTGGTTTCCTGCTGCTGACTCAAATTTGAACACAAGGCCACGACTTTGGCAGAAGAAGATATACATTTGATGACTGCACTGCACAGCATAATATTAACTTAACTAGAATATATTATTTAGATTTTTTGCTAAGGATATCCGGTTATACAAAATAATGATGTCTTCATAATTCACCAATCAGTTATGGTGTTCTACAAGGCTCTTGTCCAGGCCCAGTCGTATCTCTTCATAGTCTAGCATTGAGAGGCATAATAAATTATAGCATAAAATTTTGCTTCTGCTAAGATAATGCCAAGATTTTTTTTTCTTTTAACCATTAAAAACAAGTTTTTGATCAGTTGCATGAATTGTAAAATTCTCCCAGAAACATTCACACTTTGATTAAAGATAATAGTTTTCTCTTAAATCTAAAGTCTGATTATTTTTCTAGGTCCTGATCTGCTCTTTGCCTTGTTAGCTAGCTACTTACTTATGTTTACTGTATGCTTATGTTTACAATGGCACACAGAAGGACTTACTGGAACCACTGAGTAATTATTGCTCAATAACTTTATTTACTACATAGAGCCACCAGACAGTTCATGTTCAACAAACCACTCTAAGATTATTTGAGCATTGTGATATGGTGCATTATTCTAATAGAGTAGACGTCAAAATATGTGTATACTTTGGTCTTAAAAGGACAAAGATTTACAGCAACCATAGTCAGATGTACTCTGGTGTTTAAATGAGATTTAATTGTTACTAAGAAGCCCCTGAAAGTGCCATGAAAATATCTGCCACACCATAACAACCCCTCCAGTAGCCTGAACAGTTGAAACATTGCAGGTGTCCATGCTTTTCTGTTGTGTGCATCAAAGTTAACCCTACCATCTAAATTTTGCAGCTGAAGTCCAAACCCATCAGACCAAGTAATATTTTTCATTGTTTTGTTATCATAGATTTAGAAAGCTTTGTATTGTTTTATCCTCAAGCACCTAATTTGGAGATCTGATTTGTTTTCGTTCCAGCAAAACTAGTTTCTGCATGGTTAGTGATTTAGTTCTGTATTCAAAAAAAGGAACACCTATGTAAGTAAAAATAGACATCTGTAAACTGGGTCAAACAGTCAACCCCTGTCCCATAAGATGGGATACAGACTTTTAGAATTGCTGCTGCAGAATCTAAGATGGATTTTATGTAAATTGGTTTATCTTTTGTCTTTTCTCAGTCATAAATAAGTCGGAGTGTGAACAGTTATTTTTTTAGCTAACGTGTCAATATGGTTTTATTACATAATCCACAAATTTGTTTCTATTAAGGAAAATAATAGGGTTTACTGAAAAGAAAAACACTTCTAGTAGAAATCCTAGTGTACATTTTTTAAATAATGTCCTCTTGGCTCATATAATTACACATTTTAGTGTACTTGTGCATTAAAATTGATGTTCTCAAATTGTTTTATTTTATCATTGATTTATTTAAATCGTGTTCTATTATAGAAAGTTTTTAAGGTAGAAATTGAGCAATAATAATTTTACCTTATATAACCACATATGAACATGGTTTTCTTAGTCCCAGCTACAATAAAATAAGGCTGGGGAAAAAGCTAACCTTTCTTGTAGCCTTTTGGGGGAGGTTGTCCAAAAAGGGTGTGTTTTGTATACTTGTTAAAATGTTGAAAACTGGAGAACCCCTAAGATGTTAACATAAAGTAAACGTGACATGTAAGTAAACTGTCAAAGCATGTTTCAAGAAATGTTATTTCCACCCTATTTGATCTCAGAAACCCTCCAAAATCCTACCAGCACTGTTCTTTATGAAATCCAGCGATATATATGTATAGAAATATATATATTTATTATTATTTTATTTTCCACCAGTCACCGGTCCCCAAACCCAGAGGTGCTGCAGCATTCGTGAGAAGACTGAAAGCTATCTGAGGTTTTAAAGTAATAAGACCATCATGTGTTGAACCACAAACTGCTGGCATCAAACATACATAAGAAGCACCCACATCCCCCTCTGCAAGTCAGACAGTCACCTGCCTCGGGTGACACAGAGCCGGCGAGGCATATAAAGGAGATCCGTAAGAAAAGAAGGGAAGAAGAGAGGGATGGTGTCAAATGCTTCTTTTTTTCCCCCTTCACATTAAGCATCCTTGACATGAGTGAAATGATCCGACTCTTACTCCTTTTAGGGCTGCATTTACTTTAATCCATACTATAGAGTTCAGCTTGGTAAACTGTTTGTGTTCCACATAATCCTCAGGTTAAAACTTAATCCCTCATCCAAGACACCTCCTGACCTTGTCAATCTTTGGAACAATAAGTTAAGATAACATCCAGAGTGAGCTCAAAAACCCAATTTTGTCATAGTTGCTCAGGATTGATGAGATGCAAGAAAACTTTGAGAGTGCTTCATTGAAGCACCAACACAAACAGACTCATTTTTTTTTCATTTTCCATTGCTGGTTTTATTGGAATCAGAGAGTAAAAAACATCAATCTCTGAGATTCAGACGCATTAAAGCTGGTTCACATTTAAATCACATTAAAACAGAAACATCAAAAAACAATAAAAAACAAAAAATTCAAGTGACATGTTAGTGGTTTGACTCAAAGAAATATAAAGCCGTGGAAGTCGAATCATAATCAGACTCGATTTGAGGCTGAATTTTAAACTCCAGGATGCTGATGAACCACAAAACTGAATGCTTTGCATGTTTGAGCAGATAGGTTGTAAAACCAAGAATTTTAGAGAAAATGCAAACATCGGCCTTCTGTGTATTTTCCACCTCTTTGCAACGGAACTCCTCCCTTTAACGGAAAGAACAGGCAGAGGATCAGCTACCTGAGCAAGTACACTTCCTCATGATGAAATGTTTGTCGAAGGTGGATCTCACTATAAGCTCAGTAAAGAGAAAACTGCTGATCAGGCTTGGGTAAATGACCTCACAAGAGGCACAACAATCAAGTTTGTGAGCAGACACTAGAAAACAGAGCAATTCTTCATAATAAAATCATTTTTTTACCACAAAAACAAGAACTGACCATAGGATGCTTTTCCTTATATAAAAACTAGATCTAAGCAGAGCTAATCTGACTTCACCAACATTCTAGTTTGAGGTTTCTAACAAATAATTTTTCTTTTCAAACTTGTACATTTTTATAAATAATTAATTGTTAGCAATATTTTAAATAGTCATCCCTTACCATTCCATTTCCAGGAGCTTCTCTTTTTGCACCAACACTAAAAGCTTCATTTCTTGTGGAATGTGATGGAAGAAACTAGTTTGTTGCCAGAGTGCATACATTTTTCCTCTAACCATCCAGAACTTTAGAGACCATGAAAAACATAATTGATCACAGCCGAGTTTGGTATGTGCTCTTGAATCTTAAAGCACATTGTAAACCCAGTGTATGAAGATATGAAGGAGTTTCTTTGCCTAACTTGTTGCTTCCCAAATTATTTATTTCAAACAATTTTTTCCAGTTTAATCCAAATTAAGATTTTTTTCCCCCAGCAAATCCTTGATGCCATACAATTATTCACAGCCACACAATGCATATAAAAAAGTTTTAACCACTGAAACATTTTATATTTCTTTCAGTGTTTCTAGGATATACCATGGAAATTGTGGCCACTTTCTGCAAGACATTAACGAAAATTAGCAACACATCAGAACGTGTTGTTGCAGGAGGGTAGATGAATGTAGATCTTCCAAAAGCATATAAAACACAATCTCATCTGTACTGCTCACACCTACGGTCAGGGAGTGTTAAAGTTTAAATAAACTAGAGCAGCAACAAACAAGGCTGACTTTCGAATCAAGTTTATCTTTGCACCTGACATAAGCTCAGCTGCAGCAAAGAGTGGTACCTTGATGTCCCCAAGTCTCCAGAAAACCCATTATATCTACATTTCAGCTGTTGTTTGGGAGAAATGCCAGGAAAGGAACAAAATAAAAGTCTTCTTTCCTACCATCACATATGTAAACATGTTATTTTTTTAAACATCACGTGAAATTGGACCTGAACTGTGTATCAGCTGAAATTTCACCATGAAGACTGAGGGAGCAAAGATCTCAATGGGATGAGACTAAGATATATTTTCCTGCCATGAACACAGCAGGCAGGCCATGTCAAAGGAGGAGAACACCCCAGTTTCATGCCCACTTTGTCTATACCTTTAAAAACTTTTTTTAGACTACATTATAGAGATTTAGATTTAGAAGCCAATACTACTTGGCTCTACTACTAATGTGACATTTGTGCCACTGTTGTTTTTTATGACAGCACAATGATCAAAACCATATGCCCAAATTAACTAGAAATACTTCACCAGACACAGGACCTAGATCCAAATCCTACATAAACTAAAAACAAGAGAGCATAGGAGAGAAGTAGGATGTTGAATAATCTGGAGCAAGCTCAAGTCCTTGAATCCTGTGACTTTTAGATTTCTCCCTGCTCCAACACGCCTGAATTAAATGACTTAATTACCTTATTGGTTGAATTAATATTCTCCAGAGTCCTGCAAATGACCTACTTATTTGATTCTGGTTTGTTCCAACAGGGAAAAGCATGTGTGCAACATATTAACAGCCTACAATGAAAGTCATCTCCAAAGTACTAATAGATAGACCTCTACCTCTCCACCGATTGGAAATCACTGTAATGTTCCTATAAATGAGCAGACATGTTTAACCTGATATTCTTAGCTCTTGTAAAAAGTATAACCACTGCAAAGCTGGCACTCTGTTTAGCACATTGCTTTAGGGTGAATCACACATTATTCCCAGTGCACAAAATGCAGTGGAAAATGTTTCCTCGTTCACAGAGGGGAAACATCCTCATGGGACAATGGGTACAGAAATCAAATGCATAAATTATTATTTCATATAATGTCACCAAGCTCGCAGGGTTTTTATACATCTTTAGAAATAGATAAATTGGCTTTTAAGCAAAGAGAAAAAAAGTCATACTTTTGTAAGCAGGTGTAGGATATGTCCTTGTCCACTAGAAGGCAGAAGAGAATGCCAAACAAAAAGTTTCCATTATCCTCAAATGTAACTAAATAACAATAAAATAGCAGCAGTGTTTAGGGACATGGCTAATAACACATCTGTTATCCCTTCTTGAACTCAGGTCACATTTAAATCAGACAAAAAGTGCCTTGTTATTTCTGCTGAGCTTATTTAGATGCAAAATAGCAGCCTTGATGTTTTGCATAAGCTGCACATTCACTCAAACTAAAAGTAAAATAAACCAACTGAGGGCCCTAAACAAGGTTTAGATAGACATTAAATCAACTAAAATAACATATCAGTGGGAGGTTTTTTTAGATGCAAGAAAAATAATGTTGTAATTATTTTCTCTACTCCCTGCTTTATAAACTTGAGGTTTTAAGGTCATAGTCACTGCAGACGAGGCACAGGGTGGAGCAGCGTCATGTGCTCGGCTCCGTTGAAAGGCAGGCGCCTGGTGCAGTAATGGTGCACCACCTCTGGGATGCTGGGAAACACGCAGCTGCTCTGGTCCAGGGTGTAGCTGTTCTCTTTAGTCTGGGCCACGATGATGTGAACACAGCCCTGACTCGTCCTGAGGCACAGGCAAGAAAGACAAGTCATTTACTTCTATTCTATCCAAATGATAATTGGAAAAAAATAATTCTCTATACATACATTATCTTTTCTAATTACTTATTATATCAAAACTTACTGCATTTATTTTGTACTTAAATTCAATGTTATTGATAATGCAACCTATGCTAGTTTTCCCCCTCAATCAATTTATTATCTATCTATTGGTAACATTTTTACAGTTGCCTTTATTTCCATTAGTTTTATCCCAAATAAATTATTTGTATAATATCATATTAATAACACCAGATTATTATTATTTACAGTTAAAATAGAATAAACACTTATCAGGAATCCAAAACTAAAAATCTTGGTGTTGAATTGTTCTGTCCAACAAAGTCTTTTTCATTCAGACTATTTCATCTAAGGTTTGTTTATGTATTTATTTTACTGCATTGTTAGTATATTTGACCGGAACCTTCAGAGGCAGTTATTATGTCAGCATTTTATCACCTTGAGAACATTTTCAGGATTAAAAGACTAATGTCCGAGCAGGATCTTGAAAAACTCCTTCATGCGTTTATCTTTAGTAGAATTGATTAATGCAACAGAGTCATCACAGGTTTGCCTAAAAAGTCCATCAGAAAGCTGCAGCATATTAGTCTTTAAATCACTGAATGGATCAGCACCTCAACACATAACAGATGTGCTGTCAGTGTATCAACCTCCCAACCTCAGGTCTTCTAGTTCCAGTCTACTCTGTACAGCCAGAACTGGAACCAAACATGGAGAAGCAGCATTTAGTTCCTATGCTTCACTGATCTGGAACAAAATCCCAGAAGACTGTAAAAGTGCTGAAAGTTCTTTCAAGTCAAAGATAAAATATATTTGTTCACAACTGCTTTTGTCTCTTTAAATTAAACTGCAAACAGAGGTATTATTAGTTTAAGGTTGTGGTTCAACTACTTTATTTGGTTTATTACCTGCTTTTATCATGTTTTTATCTTTATTTGCTTTTATTCTGCTTTTTTTTTCTTCTACTTTACTGTTTATTTCATGTAAAGCACTTTGAATTGTCCAGGTACTGAACTGCACTATATAAATAAACTTGCCTTGCCTTTGTGGCTCAATAGAAATTATATGATAGTTGAAAAGAAACAGAGCACATAAGTTTAAATTAAATGCAGATGTTAGAGGATAGGAAGTGGAGAAGCTCTAAAGAGTACAAACAGGGTAATGTGAAGATAAGGAGAATACGTGATTGTAGAGCTCCTTTGATATATTTGGCTTTTTAAAATATGCATATCTTTAAAAGGTGAAAAATAATAAATACCATCTGTAAAAAAAAGTGTACAAAATAATAATCCACTTCACTGAAATAATTAAATGAAGATGCTTTTGAGCACTCATTATCCCCATGACCTTTATGACTAACAAACCCACAAACTTAATTCTTCCAAACACCAACAACAGCATGCCACCAATAAGCAATGAGCACCCATTTTCAAACACTTCATCCAGAAAAAAATGCCCCTGCACTTCCTGTAAACACTCACTTGAGGGCAATGGAGTACTTGCTGTTGTCAGACTCGCTGTTCCTGACCAGGAAGCTGGCCTCTTTGCAGGACTGCAGCTGTGACTCCGCCTCCTGTCTGGTCACACAACCATGGTACCAGCTTGAAGATATAAAGTGTAGAATCGAAAAGTTTGTTAGACTCTTTGATAATAAAATTGTTTGTTGAGCTTTTATGTTGGGAAATAATGAGATTTGTAAACATTATACCATAAGTCATAAATGCAGAGGGTTTATAAAACCACAATAAAAATCTCCACCATCTTAGTGAAAGCTTGGAAATCAGCAGAAACTTCCAAATCTTGTCATATTAGAGAAACAAACTCTAATATAGTTCATAAATTAAATGTAAAACATGTTTATTTCCATCCACTTTTTCCATTTTCCATCATACTTATCCCAAGCAGGGTTGCAAGGGGTGCTTGTCCCCGTCTCCAGCTGTCTACAGGCAAGAGGCAGGGTACACCCTCGAGAGGTCACCAGTCCATCGCAGGGCAACACAGAGACAAACAGGACAAACATTCACACACACACTCACACCTAAGGAGAATTTAGAGAAGCCAGTTAACCTAACACTTATATTTTTGGACTGTGGAAGGAAGCCGGGGTACCCGGAGAGAACCCACACATGCACAGGGAGAACATGAAAACTCCATGCAGAAAGTCCCCGGGCCGAGAATCGAACCTGGGACCTTCTTGCTGCAAGGCAGCAATGCCACCGACGCACACTGAGCAGCCCTCACATTTTAATTGAAATCTGAAAAATGCAGTTATTTCAATCCCCTCTGAGTCAATACTTTGTAGAAACACTTTTACTTACAGCTGAAGATGAAGCAGAGGAGGCTACCAGCATCATTGGCTATCAGCGCTGCTCAACCGCCTGATTTTGTCCCCACTCATCTATACCAAATGGCTCAGTCAGAGTGGACTGATTTTTTTATATGCATTTTTTATATGCACACTGTTGCCTCTTAAACTGTCCTGTTATTCTTCTGCACCTATGTAACATTTTTTTATCATAATTTAACCGTTTCTCACTTCAGCCAGTCTTCATTTGGGTCCTTTACAAACCGAAACCTTACAATCATGTGCAACTTCATTTAACTCTTGGGGGGTTGTTTTACAAAGCTTTTTGAATTGTTTTTGTACTGAAATGTACAAATAAACTTGCCTTGCCTTTATGACCTAAAACTGGTGTAAACCTCTCCACATCTTTATCCTAGTCCTGTCTTTTGATTTCCACATTCTTCATAATGAATTTTGTTTTTTTCAAAAAATCTTGATGTCTTTCTTGAAACAGCTGGGTTTACACCAGGGTTAAGGTTAAGACAGCTAATATACTATATATATATCTATATATATATATATAGATATATATATAGATATACACTATATTGCCAAAAGTATTTGCTCACCTGCCTTGACTCACATATGAGCTTAAGTGACATCCCGTTCCTAATCCATAGGGTTCAATATGACGTCGGTCCACCCTTTGCAGCTAGAACAGCTTCAACTCTTCTGGGAAGGCTGTCCACAAGGTTTAGGAGTGTGTTTATGGGAATTTTTGACCATTCTTCCAGAAGCGCATTTGTGAGGTTGCACACTGATGTTGGACGAGAAGGCCTGGCTCTCAGTCTCCGCTCTAATTCATCCCAAAGGTGTTCTATCGGGTTGAGGTCAGGACTCTGTGCAGGCCAGTCAAGTTCATCCACACCAGACTCTGTCATCCATGTCTTTATGGACCTTGCTTTGTGCACTGGTGCACAGTCATGTTGGAAGAGGAAGGGGCCAGCTCCAAACTGTTCCCACAAAGTTGGGAGCATGGAATTGTCCAAAATGTCTTGGTATGCTGAAGCATTCAGAGTTCCTTTCACTGGAACTAAGGGGCCAAGCCCAGCTCCTGAAAAACAACCCCACACCATAATCCCCCCTCCAACAAACTTTACACTTGGCACAATGCAGTCAGACAAGTACCGTTCTCCTGGCAACCGCCAAACCCAGACCCGTCCATCAGATTGCCAGATGGAGAAGCGCGATTCGTCACTCCAGAGAACGCGTCTCCACTGCTCTAGAGTCCAGTGGCGGCGTGCTTTACACCACCGCATCCGACGCTTTGCATTGCACTTGGTGATGTATGGCTTGGATGCAGCTGCTCGACCATGGAAACCCATTCCATGAAGCTCTCTGCGCACTGTTCTTGAGCTAATCTGAAGGCCACATGAAGTTTGGAGGTCTGTAGTGATTGACTCTGCAGAAAGTTGGCGACCTCTTCGCACTATGCGCGTCAGCATCCGCTGACCCCGCTCCGTCAGTTTACGTGGCCTACCACTTCGTGGCTGAGTTGCTGTCGTTCCCAAACACTTCCATTTTCTTATAATACAGCCGACAGTTGACTGTGGAATATTTAGGAGCGAGGAAATTTCACGACTGGATTTGTTGCACAGGTGGCATCCTATCACAGTTCCACGCTGGAATTCACTGAGCTCCTGAGAGCGACCCATTCTTTCACAAATGTTTGTAAAAACAGTCTGCATGCCTAGGTGCTTGAATTTATACACCTGTGGCCATGGAAGTGATTGGAACACCTGATTCCAATAATTTGGATGGGTGAGCAAATACTTTTGGCAATATAGTGTATATATCTATATATAAAATTCAGGAAGTAGTGGAGCTGTGCATAGAGCCCATTGTTTGGCATAGAAAGGATGTTACCTCTGTTTTTCAAGGGGAAGTGAGGGGTCCACACAGCAGGTCTCACCATCTGGGCTGCCGCAGCGAGCTGAAGATGGCAGCAGAGTTGGGTGAGAGGATCTCAAGTTTTTCTGGCTTTTGCTTTTCTGCCTCTGATGCTGCTGCAACTGGGTCTGTCTTGTGAGTGTTTGATGGCACATCTCTTCTTTGACTGGGCTGTCGAATTGTGCTGAGAAAAGACAAGCACAGGCAAAACAAAAAATAAAGAAAAAACTATATGCAAAGAAAAACTTTGTCTTTGCGTTTGAACTCTCTGTTGAAGTCTAGGAAATAATAAAACAGCAGCGGGGTGCTTTGATGTTTAGTACAAGTTGTTCAGAATGCTGTTGGTCTGTGTAGCTTATAAAAAATACATGTGAGGGTAAAGCAGGCGAAGGAAGGGTAAACACTGCCAAGTAGGCTTAAAAGGCTTTAACCACAATCAAACTCAGTGATGATTCAAGAAAAAACAATGAGTTTAAAGATTCCACGCTGTACCCGACAGAGTCCTGACAATGTGCTCCTTCCTCCACTCCCAGGCAAGCTCGTATTCAGTGACGGGTCGCTGGTCCAGCTTTGGCTTCACCACAGCCGTCTTCTTACTGTCAGCACTTCCCTCATATGGGTCATCATAGATGGCAGCTGGCTGACCTTTCTCTGCAGCTCCTTCACTGCAATCAGTAGGCGCACACACCTTCAGCAAGTCTTTAGATCCCCTGCGTCTGATCTCTGGCAGGTAAAAGAGAATGGATTAAAGATTAAAATATCTGCTGGGTACATGAGAGCTTAAGGAGGGCTACAGTCTGTGGAAACTGGACACAAAAACACACTGAATTGGGATGCAACTGAATTTTAGATAAACCAAAAGTCTATTAACCCCTGCTAAAATGAAACTTATTTACTATCTTTTTCCTGATCTAATGTATCATGAATCCTTGTTAAATTGACTAAAAGCAACAGAAAATCAACAGAAAAAGCAACAGAAAATCTGAAAACATTGACATAACATTAATTTTCCTATCATGAAGACATTTTTTAGATGATGTGAATATTTGCATGACATTAGTTTGAGGCTGAGTTATTTAGATTTCAGAGACTCCAGAGGGTTAAGGGTGACAGCTGCCTTCTATTTGTGATTGCTTTAACTCTCTATTCAATGTCATTCTCCACTCTTCCCTCAGTATACATTCTGGTTCTTCTGTTTGCAGCTCTTTATTCCACTGCCTCTCCATGCTGCAGAGATACAGTGCCTGCTCATCCTTTGTACTTGGTGCCCTTTTAACCACATAATAACAATAAGATTTGGGTAGATAGATTGTATGGCTTCTGTCTTGCAGCTCTCACTCCTTAGTCCAAACATATAGAGATACACAAAAGTTCAGGCAAAACAAAACGCTTTTATTGGATTATGAGTGAGTTTGTTTAGCATCTTGACACAATTTACACTCTGAATATATTCTATATGTGTGGCAGCAGTGTGCCCGAGTTTAAATTCAGGCACACTATCAGCAAAAGGAAAGAAAACTAACAGTAGAATTTTGTTGGTAAAGGCTAGCTCATACTTGAATTCATGGATGTCTGCGTATTCACTGGCAGACTGTGGAAACGTTTATGCTTCATGCACAGATCATTGCCAACAGGGATTGCAGGATTTTATACTTCGTGGGGCTTTTTCCCCCTTTATATATAGTTCTGTACCTAATATTCTGGCCAAGTCTGGGAGAGAGTGAACCACAGACTGCTATTAACAACTGCATGTAGAAGTAGAAAACATTTCCAACATTCAAAGCCTCTTTTTGTCATCCAACAGTGACAGAAAGTTTTCTTTCAGGAGTATTTTTCGTAATCTGTTGATTATGGGGGATATTTATGAACTGCTGGTGTTTATTATTCAGGGCTAACTGGAGACACTAAGCAGATGTCAGCCGGATACATCTGCATAAAGCTACATTTTTAGAACCGTCCACATGGAGTCTCATTAAAAACTTCTTTGTGCAGATAAACCAAGTTGTTTCTTGGAACCAGTCATGTGGGGATGTGCATTGTCATTAACAGCTGTTCTCTACAGCTCTATGACGTCTGCTTGGTGGCTATACAGATAAAGCACAGACCACTTCAGTGCTGTACGTCATTTATTTGTTCAAATCTTACTACCTCTGAGGGATAAATTTGACACAAAAGATTAACTAATTTTCCTGCCTAATATGGCGATATGAGACATTGTAAATCATATGAAGACATTTTTTCCCAAACAATGATGTAGATTATCTACATAGAAAGAGATTGATGAGTCAAATGTATGAGTCAAAGGGACACCCCTACAGCATTAAAAGAAAAAAAAAAAATCTGTTTTAACAATCACCAGGAGATTTTACAGAAAAATAGTGCCCGGTTAAATATCCATGTGGCTGGTATAAAATTTTCAATTTCCAGCCCTGCTCTCATCCCTGGTCTAAATAATAATTAAGAAAACAAACTTGACATGTCCCAACAACCAGATCTGAATAAGCAACAGAGAAGTGTATTCGGCAGAATTTAAGCATAAAGTTATGGTTTATTAACAGAATTCAGCTGCTGAAAAAAATCCTCATAATAGTTTTTCACATATAATTTGATTGTCTTAAACTGCTGACTTACATCATTACATCCTCTGGTGATTTTAATTGTCTCAATAAGACACAACCTAAGAGACAACAGACCAATAAAGTCCATTCACCTTCGGACAGTGCCATTGTCTGACTCTCCTGATCAACGCAATAAACAATTTTTTTTTTCTGGCAATGTGTGATTTGCTGATTGGACACCACATTTCCTTTGCCACTGAAAGGCTTTGATTAATGGTCAGTCAGGTCCATATAGGGCTATACAAGAAGCTGCGTCCGAGTTTCTGGGAGCCAGTCAGGGCCAGCTTCCTTTAGAGAGAATAACGCCAGGAAACAGAAACAGGAAAGAGGAAGTGAGGACAGGAAACTGCACCCATTGTCTAAATGCAATACAGTCATCATAGCAAAGCCACGGATACAGAGACAAGAGTCACTTCACGTTCTCACAAGGACGATGGAAGTGACTGAAAATTGGAATCCTGTGAGGGCAAACATGTTTCCAGAGCTTCTTACCAGTTATCATTTGTTGGGCATCGTACGGCTCCATGTAGCCATCGTTCTCTCCAGATCTCTCTGCATCCCTCTGTTCTCTGGTTCTCTGAGCATCGAAGGGGTCCGCATAGTCCTCCAGAATAACCAGCTAGATTAGTGAAAATATAGAAAAGGCAACAGTTTAGGAGTGATTATATGCTTTTTTTAATGCATCAAAGAACACCACATTTAATGTTCATTTTACCAACATGAAAACAATAAATAAATAAATGCTAAAATGTATGTTTGGGGAAGCTTTATAGTTCTGTGTTCTTTTAGATTGGATGTAATGTTTCAGTAGAAAAAAGTTACTCCACAAACTAGTAGGGCTGATTAATTTTAATAATATATTGGAAGTATCAAGCAAAATGAGCGTCCACACACAAATAAATGGAATTTATTATAAACAAAGATGAAGAAGAAGTTAAATGCAATCAGTGTTCTAATTAAAATAAGTAAAAAATAGTTCCAACCAATGTTGCTTTGATCAGTTGTTTTTTTTAAATGCTCATTATATTTTCCCAGAGCATAATGTAAAATCTTGCTAAAGGTAAAAAGTATATCAGCAAATCAAAATAATTGAGTATTTCTTCATTATTAAATGAGAATATAATAATGATACTTTCCCACTTGTAAATTTTATTATAAAGTGATAACTTGAACAAGAGCAGGTGGCAATAATTTGCTTTACTGTAGCTAGAAGAAAGATATATTTCATTCATAGAAAGACGTTTTGTCACAAGCTATGCGAATGGGAGACTAAAATTATGGAAAATGTTTTACCTTCTAGTAGAAAAACTGAACCAAAAAATAAACCCAGAAGAAAATATTGGTTTTGATCAGTATTAATTAATTAATGTATGTTACAATTACTTATTTAAAGTTCAGACTCAGATATCAACAGATATTCTCCATCCAGTCTGACAGAGCTATAGGTTAATTTACAAAGATGAATAGAATATAAACCTGCCTCTGGATGTGCAGAGCTAATAGATCCAGACTTTTTCATTAGAGACTTTGGTGAACACTGAATCACAATATGTGTTATACCAGAATAGTGATCACCAGAGGGATGAACAATGCCTCTCTGCTTTATCACTCTAATAATAAGTAGAGTAGCCAGATTGCACGCAGGACAGGAAGGTGGTGACCTTTCTTTGTAATGAAGGCAGAGGCATAGGAAGGTCTGTGATCAAACGGTGGAGGGAAATGAAGAGAGAAAAAACTGGGAGGAATAAAAAGAATCAGAAGCACAAAGTGATGTAATAATATTGATTTTTAAGGCTTGGACTGGATCCAGGCCCCTGAGCATAACTGACGCCCTTTCTGCAGGTTAACACTGTTATAGTGCTTGATGTCATCTCATCAGTGTTTACACACTGCCTAAAAAAGGCACTAAGATGTGCCTGTAATAATAAACACATAAAGCTCTCTTTTGGATATAATATACGTATCTATATATCTATATATATCTATATCTTTTTTTGTGGAAAAAAAGATAAATTTGGCTCTGAATATGATAATAATATCCCCTTAAAATATGTATAGTTGAAACCTAATTCTCCATAAATACTATTTAACTTAAACAGCATGTGAAGGTATAAACACACTGCACATGTTTGGGGTTTCTCAATACAATTTTTTTTATTTAAGCTGTAAACAGGATGAAATTTAAGCTGTAAACAGGATGAAAAATACCTCAGAGTCCAGTTTACGCTTTGATCAAAGTCAGATACAGAGATGAAAGGGGAGAATTATATCAGAACCATTTATGGTTTTCTATGCATATTTTGTAAAGGTATTTAAACTGTTTTTTCCTGTTTAGTGAGTTATTTTTACAACTCTGCTGGTTATTTATATCCATATATTCTATCTTTGTCATCTGTCATTAGATTATTGAGACAATATTATGGAAATCGATCTGGAAAATATTTATTAAATTCATAGGACCAACATGCAATGCTGCAGGGGAACCCAAACAAACTTGGGACGGTCAAACTGATTCTTAATATTACAATTACAGCTCAAAAATTGCCTCATTAAAAGTTGGAAAATTCTGTATTTAGTGATGCCAAATTTGGCCCTTGGAATTAAACTTACACTTTCCGTTTTGCTCAGGGCAGCAGGTTTTTCCACTTCAGGGTCCAGTGGGCTGCTGATGGTACCGCTGACTGTAGTGAAATTGGGGCTTTTGTCCTGTTTGTCCACTCTCACCATTCGGCTCATGTAGCCGCAGGCGGGCGGGGTGGACTTTGGGGGTCTGTGCATCTCCTCCAGCACCGCCTCTGCTTTGGAGTTTTTGCGGCTTTTTCCAGACACCAAGGTGTCCCAAACTTTCCCATCCTTCTGGGATCCAGGTCCGTTTCTGACCTCTGAGTTCTTTCGGTTCCTTCCGGACAACAAGGAGCCAACACCTCCACCACCTCCTGCTGTGCTGTCTGCAGGGGAGCCCTTGCGATGGCCCGTTTTGGCCCCAAATCCAGCTTTATTTGCTTTCCTTTGGGAGCCTGGCTCAACCACTGAGCGGATCTTGTCCGTACCATTCTTTAGAGTTATTGGGAAATCCTTGAACCACTTTGCCATTTTTCCATCTGATTGAAACCAGTAAACTCCCCTGACTGGACCTACACCTATCAGCGCCATGCAACGGGGGCCCCCTGGGACCCACCTTTAGACAATCACAGCCTCTCTGACAAAAGACTTCCTCTGCTTTATTCCAATAGGAAGCTTGTAAAGAATGTTTTCCCACCTCACTTTAAAAGATTCATTTGAAAATTTCCTCAATCAAAAATAAAAGGGTGAACAATGAAAAAGCAAAGAAAAAAACAGAATACTGAAGTTTTATCCCATTGGAAATTTTCTTGTCTTTTATCCTTAAAAAAAACTCTTGAATGGACTTACTGTAAAAAAAAATAAAATAAAAGTTTATTCCTTTTGAATAAATAGATGTCTTTGAGGTGGTATCATGCAAAAAAGAGTGAAGTTTATTTTAATAGAGAGTTTTGGTCCCATTCCCAGAATGGCTGGTCGATCTTCTTCAACAAGAGTCGCAGTGGCAAAAAGTCAAATGAATGAGCCCCTGTGTGTGTGTGTGTGTGGGTGGGGGGTTAGAGGCAATCCCTGGTGGGTGGAGATCAGTGGCGGTTCAGTCCTGAATGGTGCCCTGGGCCCCTCCTTCCAACATCAGCTCCATGCACTACCCACACAGCAATAAAATCACCGAATCAATGAACAAATATTTGTCTCTAAAAACCTTTCCTACACAAAAGTGTTATACAGAAACCAAAGATAAAATATTAGATTTTTGGTTGGATTCAAATCAGGTGATTGGTTAGTTGCCTTACTTTATTTCTGGGAAGCCAGATGAGTGTTTCCTTGGCTCTGTAAATATCTTATGACCCATATATGACACAGTTCATAGAATAAAGTGTTTACAGGCTTTATTTAAAAATTAGACTGCAGGTCTGGACACAGGCAATAACCTCTGATCAGAAGCAGGGAAGTAAGAGAGTAACTTGTTTATAGATGTTGGAGATTGGCCTGTTTTCCAGTGTAGTCCTGTTTCTCTGAGTGTGACTGGCTGGATGTGCTCTCTTCATCCTCTGACATGGGAGCTGGCTCGAAGCTCGTCTGCCTGGCTGTGTGTTTTCTGGATGGGGTCGCCTTTTACAGTTGCTTTTTGTATCTCTGCTTCTGTCTCCTTGAACCCCTTGAGTCGATGCAATCAACTGGTTTTCCCTGGATAGAAAACTTTGAATCAATTTGACTGTATGATCTGGTGAACTGTAAAGTGCCTTGAGATGACATGCGTTGTGAATTGGCGCAATATAAATAAACTGAAATTCAAATTGAATTGAATTGAACTGGGGTTAGGCAGGTCAGCACAGTTTTGCTCAGGATGAGATAAGACCAACCTGTCGAGGTTTTAGCAAACACATTGAGGAGGCCCCAGGATTGTCCTAACAATGGTCCAGGTAATCAGGCCTTCGCTGAATGAACGGTTCAAAGAAATCCGCAGACAGAGTGGAATCCAGAGGGCCGGGAAAGGATCATACTATTCAGGGTGCTGTACCGTCCTTCAAGTCCTCCAAACATATCGTGTATTATGGCATCCAAAGACTTCCATTTTGCCCTGATCTGACCAAACTAAAATTTTACTTACTTGTCCAAATATTATGCAGCAAACTCTAAACTGGCTTTAGCATAATTTTTCTTTATAAAAAACAGTCTTGTTTGATGAGCATGCATCCAGACTATGGTTGTACAGCAGAGGGCATTTTTTTACTCTTTTCTTTACAATATTTGTAGCTGCTAATTCCAGGTCTTTCTGAAGCTTTCTACAAGTGGTCTTTAGCTTCACCCCTGTCTATGGCCAAAAACTATATAATGTTATAATTCTAGAATAGAAGAGAAAATACCTTTATTGTCCAACAATGAGGAAATTGTTGATATGAAAAAATAACCATCTCAGAAAGACTGGCAAGAATGCAAATGACAAAATCCTGTAAAAATGTATAACTATTAGTTTTACCAAGTGTATACAATACCTTTGATATAACAATTTAAAAATATTTGCTTTAAAAAAAAGACAAAAAAATTAAACATTGCTCAGTGACAAATGCTGTAGTCAATATATACTGAAATATCAGAATAAGACAATATATATTTATTACAGTCATATAACAGTTATTAAACTATATTATGCCCATACTATGCCCGCCCATACTTCTGTTTAGAGTTTGACTTTTGTAATGGCTTAATTATGTTTTTTTTTTTTATTATGGCCCCAACAGTGCGCACTATTAGAAATCCTTCTGTAAAAAATGCCATCAGAATTTTTTACAAAAGTAAAGGTTGCACTAATAAGGCTGAAAAAGTCTTGAAAGAGTTCTTTGTGTTTAACCCTGAGATGTTCCTTGCTTATAACACACTTTTTATAGGACTTCAGTTTGGACTGAACCAACTTATGTTCATTTGCACTGATGAGGGCCAGAATGGCTTTATGGTCATATAACTCAGCTTTTGTCTTGGATTTTAATTCCCTTTTGATTTTTTTCTTTTGTGTGTGTATTTTCAAATTTTACCCTCTGACATTTCACATGATCATCCATTACTTAATTTCTCATTTTCTTCCTTGTATTGTTACCGACAACTAGTTTATAAGGGGAAAATGTTAAGTCCTCTGACATGCAGGTATGCAGTATGACCTGCTGACCTGTTAAAAAAACCTATTCATTACAACACAGATGAACGTCTTCAACCATGAGGGAACAACTCATGACAGACGGCTGCAGTCTGATGCATCTTCAAACCCTGAAGCTCCATTGTTTCACTGAAGGAAAAAGCACAATAGATGATGCCGGCATCCTCTCCAGAAAGGCCGGCTATAAACTGGGGCCGCCCCCTGAAATCAAACCTGACAAAATTGAACATCAATCAAGTTGTGCAGAGCATCATACTGGGCAGGTTGTGATCTTGTTCTGTCTGTCTGAAGTCAGTCAAACTGGAGAACCTTCCGTGACAATATTTTCTAAATATCAGCTTTTAACTGTTACCCCTGTCCCTTGAAGAAAACCCAAGTCAAAATACAATATGGAGCATAATGTGCATGGATAAAGATGGCGGGATCATACTTCTAGATGCCTCCTCATTTATGTACAGCTAGAACAGGACCTGCTCTCCAATATGCTGTGTGGGATCTTCTTGCAATGCCAATAAACATCAAGGTTAATGTATTTACATCAGACAAAAAAAAAAATCTTCAACCTAAAAATGTCTGTTTGGTTCTCTTGTGCAAGCATCATACTGGTAATTTTGAGCCACTGAAGGAGATTAGGTCTTTTACGTTTTTTTTTTTATTCTTAAAACCCTTCTCTCAGGAGTGCTGGCTGATGATTATGGCAGTGCAAATGCAACAGGGAGTAGCCTAATTTGGCCTGAGGATTATCTCGATCTTTACGGACAACCACTTGCAGAATCTTTAATAAAAAAATAAAATGACTGAATAACTGTGTAAACTTAAACAGCAATAATGCAATAAGGCATTGCTTTTGTATAAGCTTGTTTGCTCTTGACATCAGGAGGTAATAACAAAGAATGACAATATACCATATACCATACACCATATATAATTATTTTGTTTGTTTTATAGCAAAGAGTCAACAATTAAAAGTAGGTTTAACTACTGCGCTACCCTCTAAGACGCAGCCCTTCCTCATTTGCATAATGAGGCAGAAATACAAACAGAAATGTAACAACAACAGGCAGAAATAAATGCATTCAATAAATAAATAGGGTAAAAAATATACAAAGGGTTATGTTATAACATGCACAAAAATAGTTTAAAAAATAAATAAATAAAGTTTATTAAAAAAGATATATACATTTATTTCTAACTGTATAATTTAATTTCTACCTGCATGTTTTTGTTTATTGTATTTATGCTTATTTATTTATTGAGCATTTATTTATTTATGTATTTATTTTTAAATATAGTACAGCTGGTCCTCCATAGTGATGAAGCGATGAAGAGTTTAAATTTTTTTAATAGCCAAAATGAATTGACTGCATTTTATTGAAATCCAAGTTGAACTGTTCACGCCACCTCTACCTATTTCAGACCACTCAAAGGTGTAGATGGGATTCTATTCTAAATTAAAATGAAAGTTTTTTGCTTTTTTTTCTGGAAAATATCGAAAAAATATTATTGTATTTATACTTTTCGTATCGAATACCAATTATTTTACATTTTATTGACAAAATATGGTCCTAAAACAAGTTGCAAACAAAGGCGGACACCCCTATCTCTGTAATGAAATGTAGCGGTCCGTGAAGCTCGCTAACCCTGCTTATCCCTCTTTGTCCGGTAGCGGCAGAAAGGCCGTGATAATTATGACACAAATTTGCGTTTTTGAATGAATTACAGTTGAATGGTGGATCAACAAGCACACACCGTGTGAGGACTGGTTTGCTGGCAATGACACACCAGCGAGTTTCAATTTAAAGGACAGCAGAGCAAGCATCGGAGAAAGGGTACAGTTTGCACGATAGTCTGCTAGATGGCTAGCAGTCTGCAGCTAGCACGCTAATGTTAGCATAGCAAAACACCAATCTATACATTAGGTGATAAGTTTTAAATTTAACCGCATTTGATTATTGATGACTGTATACACATACATGGTAGAGTTTGGTTTATGGTTAATACAAGTTTTGAGGGAAAAGCTCAACGCTGCTGGCTAGCCGCATTTGGTAATGTGGCTAACTGGTTAGCAAACGTAGTCACCAGTAAGTTGCTAACCAAACATCTGTAAGTGATTAGAGAATGACTGGGGAGGGAGGGGGGTCTCTTTAACGTATTTTTACTGACTGTTTGGAAAGCAGTATTACACAGCAGAAATAAGCTGTTTTACATCTACACAAATTTGTACGGAGCCCTGTAAGTGCCAGATAGTGTAGGGAAAATAGAAGTTGGGAACATGCGTTAACGTTTCTGAAACGTGTGCACAGAAGAACGTGAGTAAATATTAGAATCCAAACTTAAGAAAATTATGTTTTTATGTTAACGTCTTGAACAATTTCTATCAATGGAAAACGTGTTTCTCCATGACCAGTTTCAGATAAAAAAAAAAAAGCTAAATTGTCTTTTCATTTGCTATAAATATTTGCTCGTTATTTGCTGCTTCTGATTCATCCTAATGCATAGTTTTTTTTTTATTTAGGTCAGGTGAGGTATTACAGTGTTATGACCAATAAGGCTTTCTTTTTTTTTTATGGGAATGGGTATGAAAGCAGTGAATTAACATTGCTTCTGTACCTAAATAAATAGAGGTACAGCTCCCGACAAAATCTTAAGCTATCCCTTTAAGAAGCAGACCCTAGAATGATATCATTCCCAAATGAGTTTTATAGTTTAAGGTGTATAAAATTGGTCTGCACAATATACAAATAAACAAAGTAGTGGTACTGTCGTTAAAATGTATGATGACAATGTTCATTGCGAACAATTACCCTTTTCCTCACACATTTAACTCATCTGTCTTAGTAATATATCTAACAAT